TCTGCCAGGGGCCTGCAACACTCCAAGTCGTGTCCAAATCCAGCCCGTGCCATTTAGAAGTGGTTTTCAACATGTTCTCGGACACAACGCTGCAATCTTCGCTTCCTCATTTGGAAGGCCTTTTCACGCGTCTGCTTGGTCACGATTGCACATGTCGCCCTCTTGATCTTAGGGCCTACGGTTAAACCCGTTCAAAGGGCAATCGCCACGCGAACCTTGGACAAAGTTCGTTTAAGCCCGTCGGCCATCGTCGACCCTCGTGCCTTTGTCGTTCCCCCTGCCTTCTCCGAGGCTTGTTCGGTTTCAGGGTTCGTCGACCCCCGCTGGGGCAAGTTGAGAGGTGGGAAGTGAAGAACATCAGGCTCGGCAAGCGCAGATTCGCAAACCCTTCTCTTGCCTTCGTCGAAGTCGCCTGACTTCGCACAGATTCGTTTTGGAGGTGTTGGGCTTACAAGGTTCGCGCTGGGGGTGCACCTTTGGGGGGTCCCGTCTGTTCGGCCCCTAGGTTACTCATGGTTCCGAGGGCCTTCACATTGTGCAAAGCCTTCGCCGAAGCAACCACCTCCCCGGCTTTCAGTGCAGAACTTTTGTCGTGCACGAAAAAGTGACCCACACTTGATTTGTGTGGTTGTGCTGGAACTGTTGTCTGCTGTATGAGCCCACCTGACTAGGCTTTGGTCATGTGACACCACGTGTACCGGAGGTGTGCCGAGGATCGGAGAAGTCTGGGAAGGATCCCTAGGGACTTCAGTACCTTCAGTACTTTGTACTGCCTGACAAGAGGAGTGCTCCATGTAAATGCATCAAAGCAGCATTTCCGGGCATCGCCTGGGCCTCGCTCTTCAAATCGACAGACCTTGCGCCGATGGAGACGGGCATCTCATGATTCGTAGGGTACCCTGGTCATGGCGCTACTCTACCTGTTCTTGTTTGGTAGTAGCAGCATACCCCTCCTGATCAACGCGATCTGGGCCGTTTCTGTGATCATCACTGTTGAGCACCTCATGATTGACTTTGGTAGCGTTGTTGCTGCGCACTGCTTTCCCATTGAAAACCATCATGGTGCCTCTCAACAAGCTTACATAAAAGCGCACAATATGCAGGTTGTTCATGTTCGAAGGCGGCCCGGACATGCTTTGCAGCGTGTTCCCAGGAGGGCAACAGCCCCAGGATGTTTTGAGAAAGGCACCGGCAATTTCTTGGCTACTGTAGACTGCTTGGCGGAGTTGCCGGTTCATGTTGCGCGGGTCGCTACTCTGCGCATGTTGGGGAAGCCTCTCACCGTGGCACATGGCCCGGGCCCAGCTGTCTCCTTGCTCTTCGCCGCCAAGCGCGGAGCGCGTGGGGCTTCGGCCATGCTCGGATCCAGGTGTTGTGTTCCCTGTGGAACTCAGGGGGCATCACTTTCGACGAGTTGACCTGTTCTCTGCCAGGTGATGCCACGTGCTGCTCACAAGCAGCATCTTGCGTCGAAAGTGTGGCGAGTTGCCTATGTTAGAATGGGACTCGCAGGACCTTATTTTCAGTTGTTCTGGCCCATAGAGCCTGCTTCGCTTGGTTTCCAGCCAGTGTGGATCTGATAGGCTTCTTCGATCGATTCCACCAAACACCTGGGGCAGCTGACCCGTCTGGCCCCTCAGGACGACTCCCAGCGCCCCACTGCAGCGTCGCCTCTCTCATGCCGCCAGATGCGCAGCCAGTCGAGCCTGGGCCAGACCTGTGTGGCTGGACGCTGCGGCGGTGATTGGATGCTTGCAGTTGTCGGCAGGCATCGGCAGGTTAAAGGAGCTGACGGTAGGATGAAGCAGCAGAGCAAGGCATAGCACCCCTCAGAGAGATTCGGGCCTCCGGACGCAAGCTTGGCTTTGCAGTCCATCTGTGAGCCAAGAATGCGCAGCAGATTCCGGAACCCGATCGCCGCCCGCAAGCCGCTCATCGCGTTTTGACTCCACCCGATTTCGTTGTCTGTTCCGTCGGCTGTGAGCACTGGCAACCGCTGGCGTCAGTCTGTGCGAGGGATTTGCTGGAAGGGCCGCAGGCAATCTGCTCCACTACCTGGTGAGCCATAGTCCAGCAGGTCACATGCCAAGGTTAGAAGAAAAGCTCGGCGTTGATCTGCGCTTACACAAGGACGGCTTTTGTCAAGGCAGGCAGGTCCCATTGGTGTGTGTGACTCGTGTGTACGTGTGGTCAGATGTTGACACTGTGATGGATCGGGCACCATGCACCAGCGTCCCATCGGTGGTAGGTTGCTTTTGGCAATATTCATTCGGCATCATCTGCCTTGCGGCGGATCTCCATGCAGCATGCGTTTAAATGGCCGGACAACACGTCCAAGGCTGACAATTCGCAGCGCCTCACAGCATGAAGTGGCCCCCCGCGCCCGCCGCAGATTCTGATGCACGAGGCTGCGTAAAGTGGCTGGGGACGTCCAAAAATGCTTCCATCGTTCAAGGCCACCCCCTGCTAAGTGTTGAGTGTTGGGAATAGCGGCCCGACATAGCCCGACGTCAGCACTCGGATCGCTTTTTTGGGGTTTGTTTAATGGGACTGCCTCACTTGCTGGAGGTAGGGCACGATGACGGACCGTTGAAGCACCGACCTTGAAAACCTAGGGCGAGCAACAACCCTTAATGAAAGGTGCCATTGAGATACGCATCCCCCCAGAGAAGCCCAGAAAACGCATAAATATGTGCTGTCACGAAGGCACGAGAAGCTGCCTCGACTGCAAGCAAGACCTGACTCTAATTCGAGGGGCCTGCCCGCCGAGATGTGACCTTTGCAGTCCGCACCCACCTTCTCCGTTTAACCTCAGTTGCAAGAAGGACTGCCTAGACGGGTATGGCAAGGTATAGCACTTGGAAGAATCCAGGCTTGTGTGCATCTTAGTCGGGTCAGTCGCAGCTGCATCGTGCGAGGCAGGTCAAGATGTTTGTCAAGCGTTGCTTGTGATGCCATGTGTTGCTCACAGTAAGCACATGCGGAAGCAGCCTCTAGCATGGTAAGTGGCGCTGTCTCCTTGCTCTTCGCCGCCAAGCGCGGAGCGCGTGGGGCTTCGGCCATGCTCGGATCCAGGTGTTGTGTTCCCTGTGGAACTCAGGGGGCATCACTTTCGACGAGTTGACCTGTTCTCTGCCAGGTGATGCCACGTGCTGCTCACAAGCAGCATCTTGCGTCGAAAGTGTGGCGAGTTGCCTATGTTAGAATGGGACTCGCAGGACCTTATTTTCAGTTGTTCTGGCCCATAGAGCCTGCTTCGCTTGGTTTCCAGCCAGTGTGGATCTGATAGGCTTCTTCGATCGATTCCACCAAACACCTGGGGCAGCTGACCCGTCTGGCCCCTCAGGACGACTCCCAGCGCCCCACGGCAGCGTCGCCTCTCTCATGCCGCCAGATGCGCAGCCAGTCGAGGCTGGGCCAGACCTGCGCGCCTGGACACTGCTACGGTGATTGGATGTTTGCAGCGTTTAAAGGAACCTGACGGTACCATGAGACAGCATAACAGGGTATACCATTCCTTACAGAGATCCGGGCCAATGCCAGACAGTGGCCAGCCAACAGCCCGAAGGGCGCTCGAGGGGCACCTTCTAATGGCCCAGGCCCCTCCAAGAAAGGGCTAAGCCGGCTAAGCCGGTGAGGTGTGTCTGCCTTGGTGACATCCAAGACCTTGACGTTGACTAGGAGCAGTAGCGAGGCAGCTTCCTTCACACCAAGCACCCCCTTGCAACACATCGACAAGGCCTTGCTGATCCTGAACGACCTAAACCCTAAACCCTAAACCCTGCACCCTAGACCCTAAACCCTAAGTAGGGTGTCAGAGACCTGGCACTGACTCGGGTGGGCTTGCCTATTTTTCATCCGTGTGTGAGACTTGGATTTCACAGACTTGCTAGTGCCTCAGAGGGCCTCGCAAGGCCTCCCTCCGGGCGAGTGTTAGCGCCTTCTTGAAGCTCTTGAGCATCGCCAATCTGATGCGAATCTGTCTGGCGCCAGGCTCGGACATTCACATTGTGTGAGACGGCAGCGCCCGCCCAGCTCTCTTACTTCCTGATGCAGCAGGTGACGGCAGCAAGATGGGCATTGAATGGTCATGCCTCGCTTGTCCGGCAAAGCCAAAAGCGCATCCGGGGGTTCAGGGGGTTTCGGAGTTTGAGGTTTTGGGAGCTTTGTAGAGCGCCCATGCCAAGTAAACAATGACCCTCAACTTACCAAGCACCCTGAGATGTGGGCGTGGAGGCTCTTGCTGCTCTGAGCCTCCAGGTCGGGAAAGTTGCAAGACCGGCCTACATTTTGTGGGGCGTGTCGCGAATGCCCGGGATCTTGTGCAGATCTCGAGCGTCAGATTCTGTGACTGGGAGACCTCCCCGGCCTACGACATTATACGATCTCGAAGCTCGCCTTTGGGACATTCAGTACGACATTGCCCTGGTGTCGGGGTGAGCAGTTTCAGGGCATTGGGGTTTAGGATGGTTTAGGGTCTAGGGCTGAGCATGCCAGTTTGCCTTCCACGTGGCGGCACGCTTGCGCTGAGGCCTTGTCGAGGGCGTTCGGGTTTAACTTTGCAAAGGCTTTCCAAGCCAGGCTGGACCTTTCTGGCGACGCGGGTTTGCCTCACCACGTTCTTTAATCTGATTTGCAATTTCTGTTCTCCGAACTCCCTCAGAAGTAGGCGTGATGCGAAGAGTTGAAGGCGTCCGAGAAACCAGTTAACAATGTAGAGTCCCGGCCAGGAGTGTCGCCTACATCAGCCGCGCAGGCGTGGTGTGCATGCCGAGGGTCGAAGATGTTGCCAAACAGGCGGCAAGTTCTTCCATGAAACCACAGCTGTGGAGGCCCGCTGCCTGCGTGTGCCAAAGATGTCGTTCGAGTATATCAAGTGCTTTGATCGTCGGCAGATCGTGCGATGCACCTGCACCACACAATCTACCAACGCCTGGTAGTTTCTGAAAGCTTTGGTGCAGGAGGAGCTTTACAGCTTTGCAAAAGTGGAGAGCTTGACGATGATGCCAGACTGGCTTGCGTGTGATTCCGACGCCATTCCTGCCCTGCCATACGTTGCCGGTGAAGGCTTCAAGCTTTGCTTGCTAGCATCAAGCAAAATCTCGCATGCATGTGCGGTTTCTTGTCCGTGCTCAGGTGCCCCGGCCGAGGCCATGGAAGCGGAGTATGGGGTGTGTCGTGCGATGCCAGCGCAGTGTGCCAGACCCGCCCCAAGATGGTCCCCAGCCACGACTGAGATGCCGGATACCCCCCTTTGGCAGCCTCCAGGACCCCAGTGGACAGCAGCACAGACCGCTGTCGCAAAGGCTGAAGTACACAAAGTGGGAAAGGGAGCTTAAGCCTCTACTTTCGAGGTGCCCGCGTCGTATGAACTGCATTCCTAGGTGCAGCTGCCTCAGGCACGCACCCCGACGGACACGGCGCGACGTCCTTGCCAGGGTGGCGACGCTGCCACTGCCACAGTTCAGTTCAGTTGGGTCTTCCAGAAGAACGGCGTGAGCTGTCTCAACAACTTGCCATGCTGAGCAGCTTTGACCTGTGCTGTGGTGAGAAGCGAAATGTTCCTCCTAAAGCCCTAAACCCTGAACCCTCAAAAAGCATGCCATTTGTGGAGCAGCTTCAAAGAAGCTCTTAGAGGCAACAGTTTTCTGAGAACAAAGAAGCCAAAAAGAGCCTCTAGCAGCCACTGGGAAGCACGGACATCACGACCACCCGTTGACTGCCCTCTGAGCGGGATTTTGTAAGTGCGCTCCTTTGCCTGATTCATAAGCTGCGGATCCGGAACTTCCGGCCTTTCATTTGCAAGAGTCCCTAAACCTAAAACCCTAAACCCTAAACCCCAAACCCCCAAACCCTAATCCACCAAACCAGACAAGGGGGCCTCCTGAGTCCTCCGGTCCCGTCATGTCCTGCTCCTTCCCGAGGTGCCTTCCGTCTCGGCAGCTCGCAGTGCTGCAGATGCAGCTCAAAGTCAGCTTAAGAGCTTCGACTGCGTGAAGGACGCGGCACTCCGGACGCGGTCCGTGCGGCCACGCCGCTCCGCTGCCGCCCTGAAGAAGTCAACCCCGAAGTGACTCCGCCTTAGAAGGGTGAATAAGAAGAAGAAGGCTTGGAGGCGGGAGATGTGCAGAGCGCCTCGGGCTTCCGATCCCGTCAGCCGACTCCCACCAGTGTAGCCTAGATGCCTGAGCCGACTGCATGGTGCGGAGGCATACAAAGTGTACCTGCAGGAACGACAAGAGGTCAGAAACATCGCCGCAGAATGCCACGGCCAGATTCTACCAAGTTTTGCTTCCATCCACTGATGCTTCCGCAATGGCTCTCGCCATGCAACTAACGCATGCATGAGAGCTGGCTTGGACACTCCGCGTCCGGCATGCGCGTGCTTTAGAGGCATCTCGATTGCGAAGGCATGAATTCAGAGCGGCCAAGCACGGTGCCAAAAAGTCAAAAAGCCACACGCCCTTCTCCACCTTAGGGCGAAATTCTCGTCACTGGCTGGCAGTGCGGCCTTACGTCAAGAAAAGAAGGGTGGGGGGGGGGCGCCTTTTTCTGTCCGCTCTGAACACAAGGAGCCCCTTTGTCTTGAAGGGCATGAATAGCCCAAGATCGAAGCAAGGCTCCGCAGACGTTCACCAGAAGTTGCCTGGTCTGACATCACCCGTTTCAACTGTTTCTTGTAAGAGAGCCGCCGCCAAAGCCATAGAGCCGCCGCCAGAAGTGAGGAGTGCAAGAAGCCTTTTTGGGCTCGACATGCTTTTCAAGCATCTTCGGCTAGGGGCACTTGGGATGTAACTCCTGGCAACCGTCGGCATGTCCGTGTGATGCGCCTGCCCGGTCTGCGGACCCGAGGTAGCAAAATCTGCACAGAAGCTGCACAGAGGGCAACGAAGGTTGTGATGGGACTGATGAGACGGGAGCGGTTGACCCAAGACCCCCTTCATGGCTCCCATGTTGCACCTTTGGAGTTGCTCATCCCGCTCTGCTAAAGCTTTTTGTCTTCTTCTTTCCAAGATTGGAGACCAAAAGCGCTGAAAAGATCTGACAGCCACGAAACGCTTAAGCAAGCTCACCGAGCTTTTCATGGTTTTTCCAAAGGGGTGGGGGGGCGCTCCCCGGAGCCCTTCGGAAAGGACATGCTCGTCAGCCTGAATGCTTGTCCTCTTCCCCCCGCATGAAGACGGCACATTTCCCAGGTCCTCAGCCGGAGGTGTTGAGGTGCTGAATGGTGCTGACATCCTTTTGCCACCTCTGGCAGATGCCACAGCTTCGACTGAGGATGTGCTCAGAGCGTGCCCTGACATGTTTGGAGAGCAGGAGCTCTTGCCCTCTTGCTTATAGACTGATGCCTGCTTTCCTTTCCGGACTAGACCCTCGGGCAGGCTTCAGGAGCTTGCTTCGCTTGTTGATCGCGCGGCGCATGCGGAGTGCAGAAGGGCGCTGACACCGAGCTTTTGTCCATTCGACAAAGCCGACCGACGAAGCCGAGTGCCCACTTTTGTCAAGTGGTACTGGATTGCTCGATGCCAACGTCCGCTGGCTTTTGCTGGTGATGGCAGGCTGCTTTGAAGCTTTAGGGAGGGCATGCAAAGAAGTCACTCTTCCTCTAGAAAAATGGCATCGAAGGCACAATGGTTGTGGCCCTCTATCTCAGCGCGCAGTGACAACATGGCGAAGGCCGCAGTCTGCTCGAAAGCCTGAGGTGACGGTAACAGTCCCACCGTTTAGGCGCGGCTGAGTGTCCTTCGCAGTGCAAGACTCAGAAGGGCTCCCGAGGACTAGCTGTTAAGCATGCGGGCCTTTTGGGATGTTCCGGACGTGACTCAGATGGCCGGAGACTTGCCAGTGTGGAGATGGGTGCACATCGGTGTCTTGCAAAAAAATTCAGTTGCGACTGCCGCGCAGATGCTTGCCTCTCCATCGTTTCCCCCGAAGCTTCCTTACAGGCTTGTGCACACTGCTCCGTGCTGTTTCCGTGGGCTTGAGAGCGTGAGCTTGAGAGTGTGACCCGGCGTGGTACCCTCTGGGCGGCACTCAGAAGCCTCAGCACAAACCCCAGCAGGATGCCACACTGCCACTGCCCAGCAGCGCACGGCCCTAAGATAACGGAACCTCACAAAGTGTGGGATGTGTGATATTCACAGCAGCTGCCTTGAAAATCGGGGGGTGCTTGAATTGGGCGTCGCACGTTTCTTGAGACTTTGAGGCAGGCCTTTGTGTTGCGGACGAGACGGTTCGGGCTCTCAAACTGTTAAACCTAGTCTCAACCTCACTTGATGGGCGAGAATTGTTCAACTCGCGCGGCCCGAGCATCGTCAGATAGCATAGGACTGTAGGGAGTCGAGGGTTGAGCCCGAAGTAGGGTGTCAAAGTGAGCCTGAGGTACAAGGTAGGGGGCATGCTCGGGTCTGAGGGTTTTTTCAGGATTTGGGGTTTTAGGGGCTTACAAGGGGGTTGTGAACAGGGGTTTGCAAGAAGGATAGGTCGAAAGTACACTCATGAAGCCTTTGAGTCTATATATATATATGTACATATATCTATATATCGAGAGTCCATCCCTAAAACCGGAGAAACAAATAAGATGCCTTCATGTCGCGGTAAGTCTCTTGTGTTTCGGCGAGGGCATGATAAATTTCATCAATTCATAAATATGGTGGGGCATCATCTCGCAATGTCTTGCCTGCCGCATCCGCAGCCTTTCGGAGTTCCAGCAGCTCACGAGCTTGATGCACACCATGCAGAGATTCACAGCCGATAGTTTGAAACGGAAGTCGTGCAGGCAGTGGTTCCAAAGTCACTACGCTCTTGGCTGCACGACCTCTAGCGCGATGCCGGAAAGCAAAGTTCAGGTTCCTAAACTTCTTAGACCCTCAACTTTCTCATTCCAATTCCTTTGCCACCCTGCAGCTTTCTCAGTGAAGTCCCACATATAAGTAGCAGCTCCGAGCCTGAACGCTTGGTCTCCACGACCTGTCCGCTGCCATCGTGCTTTCGAGACGGCCCTCGCGTGCTGCGTGCGAGGCGCTTAGGGCCTCTGTCGTGTTTTGGCATACATTTGCATATATAATTCTTTAGGTACTTGTACAGGTCTCCTGGTTCGCCTTTCCGGACTGAGTGGCTTTGAAGTGGGGTTCACTGAGAGAGAGTGCCCCGGCACAGGCTGAGGAGGGCTGTACAGGCTCCCCTGCAGGTTTCTTAAGGGGCCCAAAGCTTGGGTTTACAGCGACGGGGCTGTGTCCTGCTTCTGACATTCTGACATATCCTGTAGATGTCGGGGCAGCTAGTCCCAGAAGCATTCAGGATGGTCTGGATCAGGGGCCGAAAGCGCACAGTGACATTTCATGGCTGCAAGGGTTTGTAGGGTTTCGGGAAATTTGGGGTTCTAAGCTAGTTTGTTTGGGTTCCTTGCAGGTCGTCAAGATTGTCGGGCCGCATTGACGCATTGCATGGCACCCAGCGGGTTAGTGGGGGGGGGGGGCAATGAGAAGAAGTAACTTGCCCGCTTGCGCTGCCCGCTGAACATAATTTTGCGCACATGCCCGCGTCTGAGTCTAAGTTGCAGATCGCTTACTATCCAGCCGCGTTGAGTTCGGCTCCGGGAAGACCGAAGCAGGCACCGCGTAAAGGCGGAGACAGAAGTGACGAAATTGAGTATTTACCAGGAGTGAGTATCACCGCAAAAATTGCCCAGGTAGCTGTCATCTAAAGCATCCATAAACACGTACTGGAACAACTGTTTGAGGTTCCTGGGCTGAGGGTTAAACTGCGTAGGAAGCTGCGATGCGCAGACACAGGCCTGCTGAGGTGCTTTCGCCTCATTCGCCTGCGGCCATGTACGGGTCGGCCCAGGACGAGTATGCCATGGAGGTCTTGAGGCCCTTGGCCACGGTGGGCACGGACGTGCTCCGAGGCGAGGGACTCAGATGCGAAGGCCGGAAATCCATTACCAACCAAGAAAGGGCTCCTGTGGCCAAAGAGCTCCTCAGAACAGCCGTCGAACGTCTCTATACAGCTCGGTTCCTGAAGTTAACTCCGGTCGCCACAGGCCGCAGTCGCTGCGCCGCCGCAATGAAGAGCTGAAGCAGGACCAGGGCTAGGGAGGAGACTGTGCTGTAGGGCAGATGTCGGGGGAACGTAGAGTGAGAGGTTCGGGGAATGGTGCGAGTTTTGTCGGTGTTTCTAAATCTGGGGAGATTGCCAGGCACCTGTTGCAGCTGACGGGGCTTCGAGATGTCAAGAAGTAGGGAGGATGCAGCGAAGTGTCCCCGATGTAGATACGAGGTGCATGAGGTACCGCCGGGACTCAGACAAACTGACAGTTCAGCGAAAACAACGCATC